CAGATGTCTGGACCAACAAGGTTTGACAGAAAAAGTGGAGGCAAGAAAGGTTCTACATCACATCACGCTATAATGTGGTTTAGTTTGGGTTAGTAAGTTGTATAATAGCAGTCACTATTTGTCAAACCAACCCTTGTGTTACAGGGCCTGATGTGTAACTGTTTCAAATCATGGCTTAATGCAATATATTAATCCAATGCTTGCATGTTCTATTGTTTCCCATAATCATGGTTTGACACAGGTACAGAGCCAGATAACACAGGATATAGACTTACTATACAGTGCCTGAATGTGGTCTTTTTCTTTGCACCTGGCTTTACTTCCTTCCCCCATTATCATGGAAAAAATGTGAAAAGGAAACTGCCTTTATTTGTGAAGGTGCTTCACAACACTTCATAGTTTTGTTGAATATTTTAATATTTCCATCTCAAGAAGAAATGGTGGCATAATACTCCATTTTCCAAGTTTACCCCAACAACGAGGGATAGAATCTGGTATATCTAAGATTAAGAAAACCACAATCTGTTCTAGAGGATGTTGCTTGAAACAGAAGAATGAAACATTTTATTGAGCTTGACCCCCAAAACCCTTTATAGAAGAACAAAAGTAATAGGAAAATGATTCTGTAGGCTTAGCTCTACAGTGAAAGCAGAGATATAAATGTATTTTTAACATATCACATTTTGCAGACACGTTGATTTGGGAGATTTTAATATTTTTCTGAAATTTGACAGGCTGTATCATTTCTACATGAGAATATCATAATGAAATGTGCTGGATGACTTGATCTCTCACAGGAAAATCAGCATAACCAAAGCCATTGCTGGATCTTCTTCCAAGTAAAATAAAATGGAGGTAGAAATTTCTGAACATGTGGGATTTTCCTAAATGTTTGTTGATGTATGCAAGATGCTGTGGGAAATTGCTGGGTTGAAGGGAGGAGTAGAATGTTTCAAGCAAATTACATAAATTAAAGCAGCTGAAATTAAAAAAGCAAGTGTAGACAATTTGTATTGATTGGCTATATAAGAGTTTTAACATGTGTTTCAGCTTTTAACCACTCTGACTCCACTACAAGTAAAAGACAATATTGTGGTTGGCTTTTCATAAGGGGTAGCTTTTCCTTCAGGAACAGGGAACATGCCAGCCCCAGATGTCACTGAGCTCCTATTCCCAGGATCCTCAGCCAATGGTGAGGGATGTTAGGAATTGCGGCTCTCCTAATGTTTCTGAACTACAAGTTCTAATTTTAAGAATATAATAACTACCAGGGGATGGGAAGGTTATCAGTCATCCGAGACAACACTTGATAATCATCAAGAAGGCACGTACTGCCCTTCCTTACTCTTAACACAAACAAAGGACAGGTTTGTTTGCTAAATTTCCAAGAAAACCCTCAAAACTGTTAAGGAAACTTTAAAAACATTTTACCAGGCTACGAATTTCAAATTAAACATGGCATTGAATTTGGCAGAAGAACTTGTATGTGCAGCATCAGATTCCAAGCAAGTGAGTTTTAAAAACCATATCTATATACTTTAAATAACAGTAAAGGCTTGAGCCTTTGTGTTGATATTACTTGTGTATATAAATAAACATCATGGGGGCATCATCTTAAGCCAATGTAACTGACAGAAAGGAACATAATAAGCCAAAATTGTGACCAGTGCCCCAGAATTTAACTCGTAGATTTATCCAACGTGTTCCACTAAGCTCCATAACAGTCTAACTTCAGGTAGAGGAGGGAAGAAGGCAGTGCCATGGTGTGAACAGAACTCCTATTTCTCTGTGGAAAAAGCCCTTTTCATCAATGGTGGAGGTGTTTTTCCTACATCAAACATCATTTCCAAAGGAGGGTTATTGAGGCAGCACCAGTCAGGGATGCGCCCTGTTTGGTTGTAATATTCCTTTGATACTGAACGACTGCCAAGGATGTCCTGAAGGGCTCCAAAAATGGCTCCTGCAATACAGAATAAAACACGGAGTTTAAAATTTGGGAGAGCAAATAAGATGTCGCCAAGAGGAAAAAGTGCAATCAAAATTTTATTTTCATGGGTTTCCTATTAGGTACAGCCAAAGTAAGATTTTACTGTTCCCCTAGTCAACCTCATCTGAGAAACTTTCATTACCTTCAACAGTTATAATAACCAATTCCTCCAACAGTGATTCTGAGTACCAATCAGAAATTAAACAGGGCTATACAAAAATAAGGCAGTGGTATCTATCTCAAGGATATGTGTAAACGAAGCAATTAAGAAAAACTCAGATGGCCTGAAAAAACCCACTGATCTTCCAGAACAGATGGAATTGTTTAAATGTCAGGAATGACAAGGAACCCGGAGGCGCTGGTAGGAAGAAGTAATGCTCACTCAAATTTTAAACACCTTATAAGAAGGGGATTAAGGTTATGGAGATGTGTACCATTAATTTTTTTTAATCTCTTATGCAGAACTATTTCAAAGAGGAAAGGGAACAAGATGCCTTTTCTTATTCCCCATAAAGTCAGATCCTCCACACTGGTATTCTTCAGGTTGCAGTAGAGAAAGAGTACAAAACAAATATCCATTAACTTCCTCCTCTAAATGTGGACCTTGACTCCAATAGACCCCTGTACTACAATATAAAGTTAAGGACAGGTGACCAAATGTCCTCCCTTATCCTTTTATGCAGACATCCTTACTATTTTTGTCTCTGTCTTGCTCCCTCTTACCTTAATGATTCTAACTCATTCTGGAAATTATTTCAGTTAGAGAATGGGGTAAAAACAATTTAAACATATAGCTATAAAATGCTGAATTTGGGACTAGTAATCTACCCACTCCTAAGCTTACTATTATACATCACAGCAAGGGAAGACTGCTGGAAAGCGGGAAAAGAAAAAAAAAGTCAGTTTCAAAACCAAGATGGAATGAAGGAGAAAATTCAAGGTTCAGAAGACTGAAATATAAAAAGCTGCAAGCACAATGGAGATTAGATAATGCCATACTAGAAATTGTTGGGCAGTTTTACTACAGACGAATCCAAAATTAAACGGAAGCCCAGTGCTTACAATTTGTCACAATTCAGTCTTCAAAGGAATGGAATGGACTGAACAGGCTGACATTCCTTCCTGGACTTTGATATTCCTATGCCACTTGATAGCTTCCTAGCGTAATTTCTAGCCCCTCAAAGGAGGAAAAGGTAGCAGTAATGTTCAATCTACGCCTTCAGATTTACATTGCATAGGGTCTGGGTCTATCTTTAACTTGTCTCAGTTTTTCCTTTATAGGAATCCAATAATAAATACTGATTAAATGTGATTAAAGCAGTGAATGTAGGCTAGAGAGACTTGGGTTTAAAACTCCTCACCTATCATAGAGAGTAATGAATGGCCATCACCATCTCTCAACATAATCTTCTCATATGTGGACCAAGCTCAATATTTGCATCCCCTAGTGTTTGCAACACTGCACAATAGCCAATTATTGATTTTTCACAATGTGATTATTCATTTAAGCAGCAGTTTTCAAACATTTCCTTTATTCAGATCACTAAGCAAGCAGCAAAACCATTGTGGACTACCACGTGCGCCTTGAACTAGCAGTCTGATGCTGGCAAGCACTTTGGCATCATATATTTGGTGTAAATATATATATATATGTATGTATGCATGTATATAATCAACCCTAATTCCCCTACACACCCTGGTTATGATAGCAAGAACTCCAAATTTCATTAAAAATGTTTGGGTGATAGCCAAATCTTGAGATTTTTATGTTTCAACTTGAACTCTTGTGACTTATTTTTTGAGAACATTACATCTTGTAAGATTTTGGCCATTTAAATATCTATATCTATATACATACATATTTGTTTTAGTATTTGCACCAAGAACTATTTGCAGTACCCTTCATATGTTTGGGAACCACTGCATTAAAGTAAGAGCTCCAACAGGTGCATTAAATCCCAGCTTATTACATCAGCGTCTGCAAAATAAGAATAAAGGTACAAATGCAGCTTCCCCTTCTCTGGAAATGCTGTTGTATCAAGACCAGGTATCCTGACGGTCTCAGGATCCTGCTCCTTCACTTGCTTGCAGAGCAGTTGCTAGCCATTCATTACTCTTTATGATAGGTGAGGAGTTTTAAACCCAAGTCTCTTTAGCTTACATTCACTGCTTTAATCACCAGTTCTATACCTCCTCAAGCTCTTTGGCGAAAGGGTAAGGAAAAGGTACTATCAAAATGAATTTCTGAAATAAGTTCTGCATCAGAGCCTCTGCTTTCCAGAGCATTCCAGTCACTCTTAGGAATGTCGTTGAGAGAGTTGTGTACCTGCACAGGCCCCACATAACCTCCACATCAGTCCACAGCTCTTTCAGACTAACCTCCTAACCACGCCACAGAGTTGGGCTTGGCTGGTGGCATGTGCACTCGGAAGGTCTTTGAGGCCAGGATCTCCTTGTACTTGGGCTTCTCCACCAGGTGCCTTATTTCAGCCATTAACCTGTGCAGGAATCCTGGTAACATAGCTGTACCCCCAATTACTACCAAGTTCTCAGCCAGTTGCTTCCTGGTATCTATTGGGCACTAACAGGGGAGAAGAAAAAAAAGAGAAAACATTTCAATTAGGCTATTGATTAAGCATGATCCAATATACAGCAAATTAGGAAGGCAAGTGGTTTTCAAAAATAATAATCTATATTTGGCTTCCTACTGCCCATTTTCCAATGAGATTGCCCTTGGCTACCAAGGCTTCTAACACTTTCTGTATTAATCAGCTTGTGGCATATGGTTTTTAGTGGCCTGGTATGGCTGCTGTTGTGCTGGCATGAGTCAGCAAGAGAGACAATTTCTATTCTAGAATTCTAGTCTTGAAGTGCAGGTGTACTGTCAAGAGAGCTGCTGAGCTGAGCTGAGCTGGCTGCTAGCCAGGGCTGTTGCGGGGCAGAGGGAGATAACAGACCCATTGGTCCAGCCCTGTACATAGGTGTTGGGGACTAGAGCCCTGGGGGGACACCCACCTCCTCAGTTGCTGGGGGACATGCTGCCATTCTAACCCAAAATTGGAGAGAGAGAGAGAGAAGGAGAGGACAGAAAACTACAGACTGTTGTAGTAGGGAGTGGCTGGAGAGAAAAGCTGGAGAGTAAAGTTGGTGTGAGTGTGCAGAGCAGTTGTTGGTTCTCGAGGTCGAGGTCAGAGAGGGAGAAGAAAAGTTCATGGGTGGCTTCCCTGGAGGAAGAGAGGCAAAGTCCCAGAGAGACATAAGGCCCAAGACAGGAAGGACAGAGACAGCTGTCTTTGGCAAAGCCCTGGTCTCTGGGGAAGGACTGGGCGGGAAGAGTCCTGAGAGAGGGAGACGCAGACTGGCGATCAGCTGAGGGGATCCAAGGAAAGGAGCTGAGTGGTGCTGAGTACACTCATTTGTAAATGCAGCACATTCCTTCCTTTTACTTTCTTTTGATAATCCCCAAAAAAGGGCCAGAGCGAGACAGAATAAAGGGGGAGGAAGTTAAGCGTTTAGGAGGAGTTAGAGGGGAACAGTCCCTAGGAGAGAGACTTAAGAGGAAACCCGACACCAGGTAAAAGCTGGGATCTTCTTGTAAATACCAATTGTAAAATAGTTTTACTGTATATAGTAAAGAAGCATAAAAACCTCTGCTGCCTGGGTTTCTCTGGGTCAATTGCCATCCTGTAACCCTATGTTGCCCATGTCAGGGTGTCTGGGTAAAAGGATTTGTTGCTAATGGAGCTTGATGTGTATACACACACACACGCACACACACAATCTTATCCAAGTTGTGCTACCTCCATAAGAGAGTCCAATATTAAAGTAGCCACAGATTTCTCTTCATTGTCTTGCACAAAGAGTACTTCGACTACAGAATCTCTGTGAGAAAAAAATAGGAGGCACTGAGTCATGTATGCAGAGAATGAGGCTTGTTTCTGTTCAGGAATCCAGAAGATATCACCCATTCTGTCCTAGCCATCCAACTGATTTCAAAAGGATTATACTGACTTTAGACAAAAGTACACAATCCTTTGCTTCAGACTGTACGCAGCCCACCATGGGTTCAGACATAGCCCACAAAAAGCCCCCAGATTCTGCTATAGAATTTGGTGGCCTGAATCCACTTTGCCCCCATCCTTTCTCACTTCCCTACCCCACTCTGACTCAGTGCTGTCTCTCCTACCCCTAACAACTGCTGCTGCAGTCTTGCATCTTTCTTCCTACTCAAGCCCCTTAATCTCTCTACTCGTCTTCCATCCCAAGCAGTAACACTCTCTGGATAATAAGAGTAGCATTTACTTAATTTTTATACTACCATTACTTTTTAAACTTTTTGATGTGGTCCCACTCTTTTGCAGTGCGGTTCCCAAATGTCATTCAAAGGTTGGAACGGCTCGATGAAATATGTCTCAACATTACTGTAGGTTTAGAGCCAGATATTTAATCCTTCCACCAACCTCCTTCCCTAGTACAACACCTTATACTTTCTGGATAAGAGTACAGGTAGTCCTTGCTTAACGACTATTTGTTTAATTTTGGTTCAAAGTTACGATGGCCTTGGGAAAAGTGCTTTATGACCTGTACTCACACTTACAACCGTCGCAAACTTTTGCACCACCCCATGGCCACGTGATCACAATTTGGGCGCTTGGCAACCATCTTGCATTTATGACTGGTTGCAGCATCCTGCAGTCACGTGATCATGATTTGACCTTTTTTGCCAGTTTCTGGCAAAGAAGTCCATTGGGGAAGCTGGATTCGCTTAATGACCACGTGATTCACTTAATGACCATGTGATTTGCTTAATGACTGTGATTTGCTTTATGACCATCATAAAAATGGTAGTAAAATCAGGTCTGGTCATGTGGTGACTTGCTTAACAACCAATTTTCCGGTCCTTATTGTGGTCATTAAGCAAAGACTACCTGTAGCTTGATCCTCTGCACATCCTGCTCTTGCCTAGTAAGTCAAATCCTGTGAGAGGGACTAAGGAATGTAATTGTCACTGCAAAAGTAATGCAAAAAAGTGACTGCACTGCTAACCTGATCGCTCCATTGATATGCAAAATCTTCTCTCCATCCAGTGGATAGTCTACATCAGGTGGTGCAGTTGGACGCTATAAAGAATGAACACTCTCAGAAAGTGAAACATTAAATTTAAATAATTAAATTTGTTCTACTGAATTGAAACTTCTGTTTATTTCCAACTTACCTCAGCACTGCCATCCATATCAAACTTCGCTGTCTGAATTTTCAGCCCTCGCTGGAGGTCACTCACAAAACAAGTGCGAACTTCAGAGAGATGTATAAATAGTCTTTAGATTATTCTCTTTTTTAATAATAATTTTATTAAAGTTTACAAATGCAAAGAGAAAAAACTAATACAAACTAAGAAGAATATAAAAAAGAAAAAAGAAAAGGTGCAGAGAAAAAAAAATAAGAAAAAAGGAAAATAAGAAAAAAGACATATAAAGTGACTCCCCCTCCCTCCAGACAAGTATAAACAACTTCAGTAACTTAACACTTTCTCTAATATTTCAGTAAAAAAACTCTTCTTCCCATATCTCATCCCTTATCAATAAACAAACTGTAAAAACTTGTCATTCAGTCCTAATCAGCAAAAGTCCATTAAGAGCTATCAGAAATAATAACATATATATTTTAACCTTAATCAAATAAATATATTTTTTAATCCAACTTATAACTTTCTCTAAAAAATAAAGCAAAAGAAATCTCTCCCCATATCTTATCTGTTATCTATAAACAAATCTTTAAAGCCTCGTCATTCAATCCTGGTTAAAAAAAAAAAAAAAGTTCCATTAAGAGCTACCAGAAACCACAACATATATATTTTGACCCTGATCAAATAAATCGATTTTATATTCCTTCTATTTACTTTTAAAAAGCCTGATCTTTAATCCCTTCAAATAATGTCCCACAAGTTGATTTCGTATCATTTTCTCTTTGTCTCCTCAGAAACTCTTTCACTAATTTAACACGTCTCTTTTGTAAATCCAAGGTAAGAAAGCTATCCAAGTCACTCTTCTTATTTATATTTTGTATATCTCCTTTAATTATTAAGACATCAGCCAGTTTCATTTGTAAATCCAATGTGGCATCTTTTTCCATATCACTCATGTAGTCTGGCATTTTAAAGTCCATTTTCAGATCCACATTCAGATCAACCTCAGTCTCTATTTTGTCTAGTAAAATCTGTTCTTCTTCTGTAGCCTCTGTTAAATCCATTTTTATAGTGGCAGACAAACTTAAGGGTAATTTCTGGGTACAGTGTTCCCAAATATCCTTGATTTCTTCCATAGTCTAATAATATTGCTCCATTGTATTAATAGGTCTCTTCTCCTTTAATCTTTAGTTCCCTCTGGTTCCCTCTAGTCAACTTTCAAAGTCCCCTCTTATCATATGTTTATTTTACAATCAACAAAATTTTCCCATGGGAGGATTTCTTAGTTAATTTCAAAATCCTTATATGCATTTTTATAAAAATTTAAACAACCCACCGGAAATATGGCCCCCTAACTTTCCAAAATCAACGTTCTAGTCCCCTTTTTGCTGTTTTTCAAAAAAAAAATTTTTTTAATTCTTAAATTTCCATGAAACTTCTTTCATCAAAGATAGAAGGAAACTCTCCCAGTGTAATGAAACTTGCCCTTCTGAAGATTCTTAACATCCAAAAAGTAAGTAACAAGCAATTTCCTAAGGTAATTAAGAGAGGAAATGGGCAACCCCAGTGTCTGTTTGAAGGCGCCAAACTGCGGCTTAGGCAGGATTATTCCTCCTCCCCTCTCCCAGAGCTCTAAAACCTGCTGGAGACCACTATTTTACAATCTCTTCATGGGGAGCCTCAGTATGGACCAAATGTATGAGTGATCCTAGTCCTCCCCTTGATCCGAAGAGGAGTTCCAAGGAGCCAATATATTCACTGGCTCCTCTTTTCGCTGTGGCCATTGGCTCTGCTCTCCACGCAGCTGTCTTCAGTCTGCCATTGCTTCCCCAAAAGTGCAGGCCTTTAGATTATTCTCCTTCAATATTTATAAATCTCTTGTGAGATTTCTCAAAAAGAAATACTTTTTGTACTGATGTCATCCACCTTTTTGAATCATTCCCTTTCTCAAAGATTGATAAGCCTACTAGTGAAATTCATATCATGCTAGCAAGGTTTGGAACTTTGGAATTGAAACGGATACAGATGGCAGATTGTACATTATGCACTCTAAATAAGGATCTGGCATGAAGCAGTTGGTTTGCAAGATGGCAAGGAAAATTACATCTCAAAATGTCTCAGGCTGCATCATTAGCTGTTGCTGTTCAGATATATTTATGGAAGAGAAGGGCTTAAAAATATCCCACCATTTTGTGAAAGTCTACTTCCATGTATTTAAAGATTTCTGGACAAAAACTAAACTAAGGTTTGTATAAAGATATATATTTTACCCTTTATGTCTTCTACAATGTCTTCTGGAACAGAACCTAAAATACAAGAAATGCAACACATCTGGAATTAGCACCAACAGATGACACAAAATTCAAATACAGACCACGCTGAGAATTTAGTGCAAATAAGCTAGAAAACTCTGCTTCAACGTGAATTAAACTGACATACTGATAAGTCTAATGGAACAACAATAAGGTTAGGGGTTGCAACAGAGATCTTTGAGAGTTCAGAATGGAATACACTGAGATCAAGCACAATGAAAATTCTCCAACCTTTCCTGAATTAACAAATATGATTAGAAATAAGGGGATTCAGTATTGAAATCAGTGCTTCTTAGGACCAGACTTTAATAAATATAATGCTAAATAATGAAGACAGGGGGCCACAATTACAAAGATTGACAAGACAGAGGGAGAGAAGATTTAACCCATCCTCCCCCAGAACCACTGAGATGAAAAGAACTCCCCCTCTCCCAGCAGAGGTATTACCCATCACTGAAGGAAGACTCTGTCCTTTGGTGGCTCCTGTATCTACCGTACTTTGCTCCAGCAACTGGTACTCCAGTTCTCTAAAGAGTATTAAGGAGAATAGGAGATATTTAGGAAACATCTGTCATCGATTCTCTGGCATCCATCCCACATGATACATCTGCACAACAGGCTATATTCAGCCTTGTGCCCTCATCAGACATGCAACATTTTACATACATTATAGGAAACATTTTGGAAAGAGATAGTTGCAATGCAATGTTTTCAGCACTCTAACACTACTGGTGGTAGTGAAAACACTACCACCTGCCCACTCATATTCTCCAGCAACTAGTAAACTGAACTGGAGAATAATAAACAACTATGGTGATTGGTAGCCATTAATACCCTTATCCTCCTCGTATTAGCTTGATCGTCTTCTACGTGCTGTCCACATTTATGTCATTGTTACAACTTCTGAAAATAAATCCCATAGTTAAACTATCTGCTGTATGAAAAAGCACTTTTGTTTGACCTGTTCTAAACCTCTCCAATGTCATTGGATGATTCCAGGTTCTAGTATTATGCAGGAGAGATTTTCCTTATATAATACCTAACTGGTATGTATAGCTGCCAACAAAGGTAGGCTACCAACTATCCTCCCAATGTTGTGGACTACAACTATCATAATTCCTTACCCCTGTCCATGCAGCTAGGGCTGATCTGAGCTGAAATTGAGAAGGTTTGGAAGCATGAGGTTGCCTGCTTCTCCTCTGAACACTGGCTTATAGGATTGACCAAAACTCAGTCTATCCTGATTCCCATCTAGCCAAATCATATCACTCTAAACCAGGGCTTCTCAACCTCAGCAACTTTAAGATGTGAGGACTTTACTTCCCAGAATTCTGGGAGCTGAAGTGCATACTTCTTAAAGTTGTTGAGGTTGAGGAACGCTGCTCTAAACCAAAGGAGTTGGTCTCTGCTCCATGAATGCTTTGATATTTGCGATCAGCTTACTTGTGAATGGCTTTTCCGCCCAAAGGAAGGGCACCCCAGCAGTTCAGAACAGGAATTCCTTCATAAATCTTCAAACAGCTAAGGATGATTTATTTTGCAATATTTCTTATTCAAAGGATGAGATACAAGCACCAATTACTTAATTGCAGATGACAACGTTACCAGAAAAGAAAAAAAAAACATTTTTATTTCCATCTTTTTCAATCAATTTATACGGCCATCCATCTCACAATAGCAACTCTGGGCAGCTAAGATAGGAATAAAAGCACAATAAAAAACATAATTTTGGAACGATTATGTTTTTATTCTGAATATGCTTTAAAAAAAAAACTTTTTACTATTTTTAATTTCATAATTTTAAATGCTTTTGGAGATATCTATGCTTTTTCTGCATTAGGAATTACTCTAAGGCTTACATGAAGAAACTTTGCATGTAAGTATTTTACTTATTTATTTATTTGTTACATTTATGTAGCCGCCCATCTCACACAAAGTGACCCTGGGCAGCATACAACAATTAAATAAAACAGCAAATAGATAAAAAACAATCAATATAAAAAGTAATCATTAAAATAAAAATATTATCAAAAAATTTAAACTATACAAACCCCATGGAGAGAACAGAATATTGATCACATTGGAGCCATCTAAAAACGTCTCGTTCCCAAACACCCCCAGGCCTGATGACATAACCAGGTCTTGAGGGACTTCCTAAAGGACAGCAGCCTAACTTCAGGGGGGGAGAATGTTCCACAAGGAGCTACGGCAGAGAAGGCCCACCTCCTGGCACCCACCAAATGCAAGTCCCTGGCTGATGGAACCCGAAGCATACCTTCCCTGCCAGATCTAATGGGATGGGCTGATGTAATTGGGGAGAGAGGGTCCCTCAGATAACCCGGCCCCATGCCATGAAGGGCTTTAAAGGTTAAAATCAGCCCATTGAATTAGACCCGGAAGCAAACTGGCAGCCAATTCAGCTTGCAAAGCAGAGGTATAATATATGCTCTTCTAGGAGCACACATAATTGCCCAAGCCACAACGTTCTGCACCAGCTGAAGCTTCTGGATACTCTTCAAGGGCAGTCCCATGTAGAGCGCATTACAGTAGTCCAATCAGGAGGTGACTAGGGCATGAGTGACTATAAGAGCCTCCCGATCCAGGAAGGGGGCACAACTGGCACCCAACATGAAGCTGTACAAAGGCCCTCCTAGCCACAACTGCCACCTGCTCTTTTATAATTTTTATAATTTTACTTACAAATAGGTAAAATTAGCTTCAAATGCCTCAAATCCGCAGAGCCTTCATATTTTCACTGAACTGAAATAAAGCTGGTTTTTATTTCATGCTTCCTTAATGAAATTGTAGGCATGGTTTGAAGACACATCAAGCAACCAATTTGTGGAAGCTAAGTAAGCCTCAATCTGGTCATAGCTTGGACGGGAGACCATGGAAGAATTATGGGACCTCTGAATACAGCAATAAAGCTTGTTTTGCTTTCTCTGCTCTGAACACCTCATAACAAGCAGCTTGTGGAACACTGTAAGACAACTGGAGTAACACCTACATGGTTATCTTTTCAGTACCAGCTGAAGAGCTCTTTGTTCTTCTGGCATCCAATCTTCCCCCAGATTACTTCTGCTTGGTTTAGTTTGTGGCCTTTACTGTTGTTTTATTACCATTACATTTTAATTTCCTTTTATACTGTAGAATGCCCTGGGAATATTTTCATTTTAAAGTGTAAATTGACTCAACAGATTTAATCTGAAGTAGGATATGCAACAAAAAAAAATATTTTGCCCAGAACTCAACTTAGATTTTAAAAAGATACAGGTAACACCAGGCTTTCTGTATAGCCACAATCCAAAACCATTGCAGAATTAATTCCAAGTGTCAGAAGAGACATCAGGTGACTTGGTGCAAACAACACTGAAGGAACCTAGAAGAAATACAGAAGTACAAACTTTAATATCCTGCAGGGTGTCTATGATAATTTGGAAACTCTGCCATTATAATCTGTATGCAGGAAATCCCACATTCTATACACCCTGAACTCCTGCCTGTGGAAATTCTGTTCATTTGAACCTGGACCAGCTGATGACCTATCCATGATGCTCAGACCTTTGAACTGTGCTGTGACAATGTTTCTGCCTGTTACTTTGGATTTTGGCTACTGGAAACTCCTTCCAGGCAAGCTTTCAAGGATTTGGGACTACTCAAAACTTTGCATATGACTACATACACACCTTGCTTGCTGCTGCTTGTAAATGCACAAACTAGAGTAAAGTCTTTTGCAACTGAACTCTTTTGTGTGTATTTGTGTGTGTCTGGCCTGGGACAGAACAAAATCTAAATTAAAGCATCCCTGATAGAAGCCTATGTATTTTGTAATTGAATGCTTCCACTAAAGGAGAGTACATCTCAGGTAGTCCTTGACTTACAACAGCAACTGGGACCAGAATTTCCATCGTTAAGCGACACAGTTGTAAAGCGCGACCGCATCACTTAGTGATGATAATCCCTGCAGTCCCGGTTGCCATTGTTAACCGAATCCCATGGTTGTTAGGTGAGGCAACTTCCTGCTGGTTTCCCACAACCAAGTCAGTGGGAAAGCTGGCAGGAAGTTGCAAGTCCCAGGCAGCATGCAAGCAGGCCAGCAGGGAGGTAAGTGGCTGCTGCTGGGTGGATGAGGGCACCAGGGGTTGTGTGAGGGCAGTGCAGCAAGATTTGGGGAGAGTGCACGAGGCTTGGGGAGGGTGCTCAGGGGTGCATGAGTAGTTGGTGCAACACAAGTGCAGAGGGGCTGGGGGAGGGTGTGCAGGTGGGGGAAACCTACCCCAGCAACATGTGACCTTCCCTGCCATCTTCCCCACTGAGTTTCCGGGGAGGCAGGCAGGGAAGGTTGCAAACGGCGATCACATGATCATGGGGCACTGCAACTGGTCGTAAGTGAGAGCCAGTTGCCAAGCACCCAGCTTGCAATCATGTGACCATGGGGATGCTGGGACAGCTGGAACTCCAAGGACTGGTTGTAACCATCATTTGTTCAGTGCTGTCATAACTTCAAACGATTGCTGAACAAATGGTCTTAAGTCAGGACTACTTGTATTTAGATACAGATCCAGATTTTAATGACTTTATTAAAAAACCAGGGTCATGGTTGCTTTAATCACAGGTGAGTGAAGAAAATCTGACAAATATTAAAACTGTCAGCTACAGCAAGCATTTTGGAATGCATTACCTCAAAATACTTGAATAGAACCTTTGTGAGCGTCTCTCTGAAATGAGAAGGGCACAGTATAGATTCTACAATCACAACACGACGGTCTCGGGGGTTTACCAGCAAATGCCTGCAAAATGAATGAATGTGGTCAGAAACCTGAATAAAATTACTTATTCTTCCATGCCTTTGTGTACAAATGTATTCCTTACAGTTTTCAAGCAGACTGCAATCCTAGGCAGAATTGCTTAGTTTAGGGTGGATTGTTGTCTGTTGCTTTTTATTAATTATTATTATTGTAAATTGCCTCAAGGCCTTGTGATATGAACAGTCTATAAATCATTGAATGAATAAAATAAGTTACATGGCAATAACTTCACTTAAGTACAATGAGGCTTAACTTTTGACTAGATTTGCAAACAGATGGGAACCAAAAAAGTGAGCGATGCCACATATTGGAATATTGACTCATAGCCAAGAAATTCATTTGGAAGGAGATATAGTATCCTATCTGGTGCTGGAGAAGACTCTTAAGAGTCCCCTGGACTGCTAGGAGGTCAAACCAGTCAATCTTAAAGGAAATCAACCCTGATT